AGCTGCGGCTCGGGCTGCGGCGCTGGCTGGGCCGCCTCCGAGACCGCCTCGGGCGTCGGGGCCGCCTCGGGCGCCGGCTTGGCCTTGGGAGTCCGCTTCGGGGGCGCGGCGGCGGCGGGCACCAGGGGGATGCCGGCTTGGGCTTGTTTTTACTACTCAGCGGCCTACCGCGGCGCTTCGGAGCGGCTGCCTCGGGCGTCGGCGGGGGCGCTGGCGGGGGCGCTGGCGGGAGCGCGGGCGGGAGCGCGGGCTCGACCGCTGGCTCGGGCGCAGGCTCGACCGCCGGCTCGGCGTTCTCCATACTTTTTACTTAGACATGATCCAAGTACAGAACAAACGACAAGGAAGACCCCCGCAGTCGGACGACCTGCCCGTCCAGGTCAGTCAGGCGGAAGCGCAGGTGCCGCAGCGTGATGGGGCCCCTCAGGGCCATGAAGTGCCCGTCGTCGGAGCCCGCCTCCACAGTGGTGCCCACGCCCGATTTCAGCGTGATCTTGGACAGGATGTCGTTGCCCAGGTTGCCCAGCGCGCGGTTGGCGTTGGCCAGCTGCGGGCAGCGCAGGTAGAGCTCGTTGTAGCAATTCATCCTGACAAACTTGAAGACCTGCTGCCCGCCTGAGACGAAGCTCGGGCCGAGCATGTGGTCGATGCTGAAGGGCTTGGTCGGCGAGGCGGCCGGCGAGGTGGGTAGTCCACAGCGTCAGGGAACTGCTGCTGCAGCTCCAGATCGTTCAGGATGAGTCGGTTGCCGTCGTAGGCAACGCTCAGGCTGTTCGTGGTCTCGCTATCGGTGGCGGTGGCAAAGTTGGAGCCGATCCAGGCGGCGGGCCTGGCGCCCGTGCCGAGCGCCGCGTCCACCCAGTACAAGTAGCGACCCCGGTCGGTCGAAAGGAAGCTGTCGGTGATCCGTATCTTGTAGATGGCCAGCCTGGCGTCGCTCTGCAGATGCAGGGACTCGCCCAGGTCGACCTCGAACTCGTTGTCGGTGCCGGCCACCCGCTTGCGGGAGTCGACGTAGATGGTCGTCATCCGTTTCCTTAGGAGACCCCACCCCGCGCTGGTTCGGTGAATGCGGACGGGCGACTGGACGGTCGGAGGTGCAGCAGGAGATGTTCTCACACCTCGCGTTGATCAGCGTCGAGCTGGCGAATAATTTCTGGCCCAGGAACGTGAGGACCACTCCCATGATCGCCTTTCTCCAACGCGAAACGGTGCTCGAAGCGTGGAACATCTCGTTCTTGGGGTTCAGGTAGTAGACGTAGAGGAAGCTGTAAGGCTCCCTGGTGGCTTGCTCGTAGATGCGCAGCAGCTGGTCTTTCGGCAGCAGGGCGCTGAGCTCCTCGAGGATGGCGTCCAGCTCGTGCTGGTTGCGGAGGCGCCAGCAGCAGAGGAACTGCATGTTGACCCGCACGGCCGCGCTGATGAGCCGCAGCTTTTGGCTGCTGACCCACGTGCTGATCTGCAGGTGCCGGCCGCGGATAAAAAGCGTGTCCAGCGCTCCGTGGGGCTTGTGCAGCTGCGGCGTGTCCGCGAAGTCGTCTATCACGACCAGCGCCTGGTAGAGGCGCTTCATCTCCAGCTTCTTGCTGGCTTCGGTGATCTTGCGCTGCTGCTGGATGATGCGCTGCAAGGCGGTCTCGTCCCACTCGTCTTACCACGCTTGCTCGCGCTCCGCGTTCACGCCCAGGTCCTCTTCGATGTACTTTTTCACGGGCAGCCAGGCGTCGTCGATGCCCACCGAGGGGCTGAAGACGTATATCCGTTCGAAGACGCCCCGATACTGCTCCAGGATCAGGCTGATCAGCGCTACGGTCTTTCCGCTTTTCGACGGTCCCAAAAAAATACCGGTGCACGGCACCTTCGGCACGACCGGGTCGCTGGGCTGCTTCGAGGTGTACTCCGGAGTGGGGAAGAGCTTGATTCTCCCCATGACTTTGTCTTACTGGCGCATCCCAATCCCTAAGGAGCGCCAGACGGCATAGGAAACACATCCGGTCACCTGCGGAGCGCCTGCCGAGCACTGGTCCGAGCCCGTGCGCGCCGTGTCCCGCTGCGCGTGAGCTCGCGAGCGTTGGAAGCAGCACTCGAGCGCGCATACCGCCAGCTCGAACCAGCTGGGCAGGCGGGGGCAGCTGGCTCGGGGGCTTCGAGACCTCTCTGAGGACGACTCGCGCGCTGAGGGGCTTGACGACTCGCGCGAGCGCCAGTACATGCCTTTTTACAGCCGCCGCGAGCTGCGACCGCGCTCCCGCGGGCTGCGACTGCGCGCCCTGACACGGGGGAGCTCTCCCCACCAGAGCGCGGGGATTCCCACCACGGCGCTCCGCGGATTTGGAGCCTGCGTGAAATCGGCGACGCAGGCTGCCACATGAGAGCACAGCTGCTCGAAGCGCTGTGGGTACTGAATCTCGTAGCCCGTCTGCTCGCCGAGGTGGTTGCGCTTGATGCGCACTCCGCAGTCGTTGACGTTCAGGCCCACTCCCAAGACGGGCATCTCGTCGTCCTCGGGCTCGGGGAGCCCATCGCGGCGTGCGAACGCCTCGACCAGCGCAATGCGATCTGGCTCTTCGATGATCACCGCTGCTGTGACGACGCAATGCTGCGCGTTCGCCCACGGAAGGCACTCGCGGAGCTTCTCCACCACCCTGTCGTGGACGAACTCATGAAAGCGCAGAAATAGGTGTTCTCCCTGCATTTCTGCAAGTCGGGCTAGGTTTGCTAGAACTCTCAAGCCACTCTCCTTTTCCTGTAGTGCCGGCAGTTTTGCCAAGCAGATTCCCCTCTGGCGGTCGACGCAGAAACGCTGCTGGGAGCTGTCTGCGACCGCTTGCGAGCTTGCTGCGCAGAAGCGGCCGGAGAAGCCGCTACGACCCAACTGCTGCAAAGCTGCTCGCCGTGGCTGAAATGCAGCTGGGAGCTGTCTGCGGCCACTTTTGGACGACGCACAGAAGTGGCCACACAGCCTCGAAACGTGACAAGCTTGCAAGGGGCTTGCAAGGGCGCTTGCAAGCCTGCAAGGGGGCTTGCAAGGCCGTGCTTGCAACCTTGCAAGAGGCTTGCAAATGCGAGAGGTCTGTGGGCCGCCACGTGGCGTTTTGGGCCACAAAAGTGTGACTTAAAAAAGTGGTCCTACAGTCTTCCCTTTCTTCTCTCTCAAGTGCCTGGGCCCTTCAACGGCGGCAGCCAGCGGGGATACGTGGCGGTCATGACACAGAGGCGCTGGTCGTCCAGAAGACCGAGAAGCCCCGCGAGCAGCTGGCGAACCTCGAGTGCAAGCTGGCGTTCGTGGACGATTTCAAGCCCACCCAGGACCTGTCCGTGCTGCGCCAGATCAGCCTCGTGCAGCACCACCCCTCCGAACAGAAGCCCAGCACGGCGAGATCGAGGAGGCAGGGAGCAGGCTCGGGAGCTCCTGAGGTCCGCGCTCGAACTGCAGAGCCCTTGTCGCACGCGGAGGGCGCCGCAGGACCTCCGTCAACGTCTACAAGCTCGACGGCGCCGTAATGACCCTTTGTGGGCGGTGAGTTTCACATCCGCACAGAATCCGTACAGACCCAAACCCGCACAGATCCGAATCCGCACAGAGAGAATTTGCTTCTGCCAGCGGCCAAAAGCATTGTTCAGGCCCTGGGCACTTAGGTTCCAAGTCCTGGCTGTCCAGGACGTGGCAGCCAAGGTCTGGACTTCCAGGACTTGGCTTTCACCTTGGTTTGGCAAGCCAGACAGCTGGCCCGGATCTTCCAGATTGAAACAATTTTTCATGGGGGCTGTGAAAGTGGAAGCGCTGTATTTGCATTTGCTTCACGTGAGCATTCTGAGCTGCATTGGTGGCTAACCTTGCCTCAGGTCTGAGAGCCCATTGTCCTCAAGTACATGGTGTGTCCGGCGCCTGACTTGCTGCTGGCGATGAGTGTGTCATAGGCAAGTCATAGACATAGACAGACAATAATAGACTGAGTCTGCGGCCCAGAGTGCTGCTTTCTGTTAAAGACCAAACTGCTGTTGTGATTGTGGACAGTCACATTGACTGCTTTGCCAGTTGCTAGACTGTGTGACCAGACTTCTCAGACAATAGACCATGTTGTTGTTGGGTCTTTAGTGTGAAGCTCATTTCCAAGCCCTGGCTGTTTCCAAGGGGATTGGGTTGCCAAGTCCTGGCCTCCAGGACTTGGTTTTAGCTCCCGCTCACTCAGGACTCATTTACAAGTTAGTCATTGTCTTCAACAGCGGGCTGAATGGTGCGGGACTTGGCAGGCCCATCGTGTGGTGACGCCCTGTTTCATGCCTGATGTGCGCACATTGAAATTTACTTGACTTTCAAAGCTGGCTCTGGATTAGGTGTGCAACGTGGCAACGTAATTGGTTCATTTACAACCAGGCTTAGGAATGTAATGTGCCATTAGAGACACTAAGTTGGCATGGGGTTCAGGAGATTCAGATGGCTTTCCAAGGCGAGACCAAGCTGCGGGTGTCAGAGCTGAAATTCGAGCTCATGAAGCAGTTCTTGGATTGCGAGAAGCATGACAGCCACCGCCGCTTCAACATCTTTGGGTTTGCTGCCTGCCGCAACGCCCTGGCCAGCGTCCTGACCATGAGCAAGAACAAGGTGACGACCTTTTCTCAGTGGCTGGCTGCTGGCCACAAACACCCGCCGCTGGACCTGAGGTTTAACCGTGGCCCGACCCCTGCTGAGCACATTGCGGTCACGAGTGCCTTTACAATGCCAACGTCCCTGTGCTGCAGCTGGACATTGGGGTGAAGGCAAAGGCCCTGCTTGCTCCGTCACAGATGGGATCGCCGGAGTTGCCGTCTGAGACACGGCATTTGCACCCAGGCGCAGCTCTGCAAAATCTTTTTTGCCTCACTTGGTGGCCCCGAGCTACAGAACCTCCTGGGTGCGGGTGTTCCACAAGGACTTTAAGGAGAAGCTCCGGTTCCGAGGGGAATCTCAGCATGCGAAGTGCAATGCGTGTGAGCGCTTCAAGGCGTTCAAGCGCGAGGCGTGGACACGGTGATGCGTGATCGGCGCGCCGATGCCCTCTGGCGCCAAGCAGCTGTGCTGAGCATGACCTCGGGTCACTCAGCGCTGGATTGCAGCTCACAGAGCTTGTGGCTGGGCATCACGGTGGATGGCATGGACATCAGCAAGTCTAAGGTGCCCTTGAACGTCTGCAAGTCCAAGGAGTTCCAGGCCATGCATCGCCCAGAGTTGAAGCTTACGCTGGCGGTGGTGGATGGGCAGGTAGAGCGGTTCTTCCTCAGCGACCCCACAGTCGGCGCAACTGCCAACAAGGACCTCACCATCATCACCCACTGCATTGAGGCTGCCTTGCAAGAAACGCAGAAGCGCGGCGTGGCCTTCCCAAGGAACTGCCGTGTGCGTGCAGACAACGCATCTGCTGAGACGAAAAATCAGACGTCGTTCAAGTATGGCGCCTTCCTCGTCTTCTGCGACATCTTTGATGACTTCGTATTCACATACTTTCGGGCTGGACACTCACATGGTCTCCCAGATCAGCGGTTTTCGGAGGTGCGACGCCACTTTTTCAGGAGATCTCTTTGGAGCAATGACCAGGCTTGGTCGTTCGCACTTGGAGTTTTGTCAGGGGACATTGAACACCCGCACATTCCATTCGGTCCGTTGACTGCCTTGCGGGCATATCTGACCAGCGTTGACTTGACAGTTGATGGTGAGGGATTTCAGCGTCCGCATACAAGGCCAAGCGCACATCATCTATGGAGTCTCCGACCCAACCGACCATGCGCCAATGTTTCGTATGATGCACATAGCACATCAAATGATGCAAACCCCGATCATCGGAGTCAGTCCACCCAGGCGATTCACTTGCCACAACAAATCGAAGCGGGCAATCCGCGCACCGTACAGCAACTTCATTTGTACGCTAGCGGCATGCGGAGCAAGGTGTCCACGCACGGGCTCCTTCATGGCCAACTCAGGAGTCCCTCCCCGCTGGTCCGGCGCTGTGGCAGAACCGTCGGTGGGCGCAAGATTGTTACACCAATTGCACACGACTGACGGCCCCTCTTTGGCAGGCTTCCGTGAGACGTGATTCTTTGTTTCTTCATGCAACTCAGGAGTGACAACCTTATTCAACTTTACGTCGCCCGCCACCTCAAGATAGCGGTCGACACAGGAACGTAGGAACTGTTCCATGTCATAGGTCACCGTTGTTACGCGGTGTCCGTTCCCGAGAGTGACGTTTCCCTTGCTTTGATTACAACCAAGGTACATGTCAAGTCCAGTCTCGGGCTCGATCTTCAAACGTGTACGCAACATGCTCCACCCTTGGGCAAGGTTCTTCTGCGGCCCTGCCATTTTGAAGTCGTCGACGTACACAACCAGAACAAGCTGGAGCTTTTCATGAATGTACACTGACGGCCATTCCTCACCGATGGGTTCAAAACCAACGGCGCGCACCGATTCATCACAGTGCTGCTCCCAGAATGTTCCCGCATCTGGGTGTCCGTACAGCGCCTTCCTCAATGGGACGACTGGTCTTCTGTACCAGTGTGGCCTGGATGTACGCTTCAACAGCGTCGGCCATCTGCACATCCCAACCATCATGACAACCCAAAAAATCCGCCCAACGCGAGGCCTCAAACGAAGCAGGAGAGTTCCCCAAATCTTGAAACATCGCAGCTTCAAAGCTTTGATTCTTCACTTGGTTCCCCAGCAACACGCCTCTACCCTTGAACTTCCTCTTAGGATCACCAACAGGCAACTGTGAGTGCTTTTCAACACAAATACCATGTGCGCGAGCCATGTGTATCTCTTCCCCTTTCGCTTTTGCCTCCTTGGCCACAGCGTCATATTCCCGCACTGCGCCAAGGTCGAAGACGCCCTGGTCGATTAATCCCGACCATTCTTTCTTCATTGATGCCAACGCATCAGGGTTGGTCAGCATTTCTTTCCGGCCAACCGGCCTGGACACTAAAGCGTCGAAGAATCGTACGACTTTTGCGGCTTTCTCTCTGTGCTGTATTCGCTCAGAAGTCACGCACGGCATCGATGGGTATTTCTTGGCTTCACCGTTTTCTCCTATTGCGGGCAACGCGAGTGGCACTTTTCCAGAAACTACCTCAGCAGACTCCTCCCATTCATACCAGGTAAAATCCGTCGATGCATCGATCGTTGGATCTGTCCCCGATGTCGTCTCAGCTTCGTCTTTCTGACGCTCTATGACTGATGCAACTGCCTTCGTCCAATTTGGAGTCGACTTCGACCGCTCCTCAGATTTGAACTTCCAGGCGTAAATTACCACCAGGCACGCAAATTCTTTCTCAAGCTGGACATTTCGTCTCAAAACGTCTTGGGATTGCTTGGAATCCATGAGAACAACCACTCCGTCAACAGGATTTACAACTATCCTGACCCAATCAAGCTCAGCCAAGTGTTTCCCATCCATTGGGTTCTTGATCTTTGATATGTTCTTCCGCAATCCCCAATTGTACTGCCATTCAACTCCACCCCAGCGGTTTCGAAGCATTGCTCGAATTCTCTTACCACCGGGCATCTGCAATGTCTGTGCCTCTGCCGGCGCAGAAATCTCAGATTCCTTACTTTTGGGGCCGTCTTTCTTCTTCTTGCCACCGCCCTTCACCTCGGCCTTTTCTTCCTCGGTGTAGTATTTCCTCATCATTGCCCATTCATCGGGAGTGTACTCTGGAGGTCTCGTCGTCTTCATTAACCTGAAGCCATCTTTCCCGAAAGGATATGGTCTTCCGGCCCTATCGATCTTAACCTCCTTGCCATCGTCGTTGATGTATGTTATGCCGTCCCCAGGTAGTCCAGCTGACACATGTGGAAGGTCGGGCTTCGTAATTTCTTCGTCGCCCTTGGCATGTCCATCACCTTTCCCTTTTGATGAGCTCGGTCTAGCATCCTCTTCTTCTACATGGTCCCCCCGACCTCCGACAAGTACTTCCGGACCATCGTCAAGCAGCAGACCAGCGATCTGATCGACCTCATCGTCGAGCAGTCGCTTCTCGTCACTCTGCAATAACTCGGGCTCGTAGTCCTCAACTTCGACCAGGCGGTCACGTGCATCCAGACCGATTGCATCGACAGACATCTCAATCCCCTCCAGAGTCTCGTTGGCAGCCTTGTACTTCTGTTGTATTGGGAATGTCAGAGGTGATTTGAGAATCATCCTCTCCGTTTGATGCGGCATTCTCAATCGAGGTGGAACCTTTGCTTTCTTGATGTTCAACTCTGCACCCGCAAACGCAGTGAGTGCCCAAGCCCGATACTTGTTCGCCCAATGCATCCCGGTGCTCAACACGTATCCAGCAAATATACCAGTTTCCCCTCTTGGTTCGAATTCTCCCTCTTCTCCCCTCGTGCTTCACTCGGCTTGAAGTCTACTAGCGCACCAAAAGGTATCTTCTCGCCTTTGAACTCCTCGCCATGCAGCCTCATCCAAGCGCTCGATCCATTTACTTCTTCAATGTTCATAAGATGGCACAGCGTGGTGATGGCCTGCACCCAGTAGCACTTGGGTAGACCGGCATGTACAAGACAAGCCGAAGTCTGGTCAATGATGAATTGGTTTGTTCTTTCAGCAAGGGAATTATTCTGCGGTCGTCCAGGCAGCGACAGGTCGTGGTTCAGTTTCAGCTCCACGCATGCATTGATCAGTTCCGGGCCATCATCCGAGTATACCTGCTTGATCTTCCTCCTCCCGCAGAAGTGCTTGATGGCCCTGACGACGGAGTCAGTGTCTCTTCTCGCAGTTGGATAAGCCATGATATTCCGGTATATATGTCCCGAATAATGAGCGCATACCTGCCTTCCACTTCATGATCTCCTGATGCCGTCACAAAGTCGAACGTCACCAGGTCCCCAAACATCTTTACCTCCCTCTTGAAGGCCCCTGTTCGTGATCTGAAGTGTCTCATCTTTGCCTTGACACATGATTCGCAGAAAGGGTTTCGATACCTGTGTGTAAGCAAATGAGCAATGGAGTTGGCGTCCCTCTTGAGGACTCCCACTTTCCTCTTTATTGATGACCCTTCGTACACATCAACTTCAATTCCGGCATCTGGATCATCCTCATCAACCTCTTCCTCGTTAGCTTCGGCATCACCATGTCGACATGGGACTGGCCCAACGTCTACAGGTATTTCCTCAGCTACGGGAGGCGGACGTACCGGACCGGCTCCTCCGGGTGGTCCGAAGTCAAACGCACCATCATGGCGCTCGCCCTCGACCTCTGCGGATTCACCGACAGCGGCGGGTGTGACCTCGTTGTCATCGTCGCCATCCTGATCTGCCGCATCGTTCGTTACCATTGCCAATACTTCCGAAAAGTGCTCCTTGAGGTCGTCTACCGTAGGGCGATGCCTGTTACTCCGAAGTTTACCATCACTCACGAGGTATGGGATGTCGTCCTTGACTTGTAAGTGCACGAATCCCTGCTTTGGTGTAACCATGAAAGGTAGTTTACCAGGCATCCAGTGAAATGCATAACCCATTTTCATGCATCTCCTCCCTATCGACAACACCGTGGGTGTCTCGTCCAACACGTGCGGCTCGACAGTCTCGTCCAACTCGTCCACGACTATCTTGGCCACGTCGGACGTGGAAGTGGAACCATTCGCGGTCTGGAACACGATCTCATCATCATCCTTCACAATATCGACACCCAGACTCTTTGCCTTCACCCGTTTGCTGATGCACGTTGACATTGCGAACACATTCTTCGGCAAACCATGCTGTTTCTTCCAGTCGACGGCCGATTCTTTGATCTCGTTCATATTCGAACATTATGCTGCTCTCCTTGGTTACTGGGAAGTAGTGTTTCTTGTATACGTCGTCTACCACCTCTCTCAGTATTCTCGCTCTTATCAATGATCGTTGGACTTGATAGGCTGATAATTCTCGATGATCACTGCTCTTAAACTTCTTCTCGTCGACGCGCACGTACTGATCCGGCTCATTCTCATTGTCCTCATAGCCGTACCACTCCCCTTTTCGTTCCCATTGCCTTCTCTCGTCTTCGAGATAGGTGATCTCCCCATTCTCGTCGACATCGAGTACTTCCTTGAACCATACCATTTTCTCGGGGATCTCGGACTTGCCAGACCATCTTGATGATTCGCTCATTGCGTCGTCATCATGCTCGTGGTAGGCAGTCTCGGCTTCATCCGGTTCGACCTGGTCAACGTCTTTCTTGAAGCTGACCTTTCCCGCAGGAGCCGATTGCTTCAAGACTATCGCAGGCATCGCGATGGCCCTTCTTGCAATAGCTGGCGCTGCGGCCTTGGCGGCAGCCTTCGACTTGGCTTGCGCCTTGTCGCTTGACGTTGCCGGAGCTGAATTGTTCTTGATGAGCTCGTGCCTATACTTGCAAGCACTCCCCTTGTCGCATTTTCCCTTCTGAAACGCGAAGCATGCTCCATCATCCCTCTTTGGTGACGATGATCTGGATTTGGACTTACCTTTTCCTT